ATTGATCTAAAAAGAGGTTTTAAAGAGTTTCTATAAAACTATAACACAAATTACGTATTTATTTACTTATTATCAATATTTTAATAAAAAGAAATCTAATTAGACAAAAATTATTAATATAAAAAATATTTATTAATTGATATAAAAAGAGTTTTTAAAAGAGTTTCTATTAAACTCTAACACAAATTACCTATTTATTTATTAACTTATATGAAAAGAGTTTTTAAAGAAAAAAATATTTTTTAATTGATATAAAAAATAAAATAGTGTTTTAAAGCTTTACCAAAAAAAAGTTTTTATCTGTACTACTCCGTATTATTAAATGTACAAAGAGTTTCAATATTTCAGAACTTATTTATTTATATAAAAAAATATTTATTAATTGATATGAAAAGAGTTTTTTTTTTTTTTTTAAAAAAAAAAAAAACTCTATAAAACACAAAAATCTACCTAATAAAATTCAAATTAACCTATTTATCTATTTATTATTTATTATTATGAATTTTTAACTAAAAAAAATCTAATTAGACAAAAATTATTAATATAAAAATATTTATTAATTGATATATAAAGTAAAATTTCTAAAACTATAAAGCAAATTAGCTTTTATTATGAGTTTCTTAAAAAAAGTTAAATCTAATTAGACAATGATATATTGAAACGAAATAAAATAATTTCTGTTAAACTCTATTACAAATTACATATTTTATTTTTATTTTTCTTAATAAAATTAAATCTAATTAGAGAATAAATTATTTCAAGAAAATAAAATAATTTCTATAAAACTCTATAACAAATTACATATTTTATTTTCAATAAAACTCTATCACATTAGATAAAGATATAATTAAAGAGTTTTTATAAAACTTTAACACAAATTACTTATTTATCTCTTGATATTAAAAGAGATTTTAAATGAGTTTTTATAAAACTATAACACAAATTACCTATTTATCTATTTATTATGAGTTTCTTTAATAAAAAGAAATCTAATTATACAAGAATTATTAATATAAAAAATATTTATTAATTGATATAAAAAGAGTTTTTAAAAGAGTTTCTATTAAACTCTAACACAAATTACCTATTTATTTATTTATTATAAATAGATTTTCAAAAAATAAAATAATTTTCTATAAAATTGTATCACAAATTATCGATTTTATTTTCTGTAAAACTCTATCACATATAACCTGTATTTATCTATTTATTATGAGTTTTTTAATGAAGGAAATCTATTTTGACAACAATATATTTAAAGAAAATAAAATATTTTTTAAAAAGATTTTGTATAAAACTCTAATACAAATTACCTATTTATGTATTTATTATGAATTTTTTAATAAAAGAATATATAGCTAGGCAAGAATTATTAATATAAAAAATATTTAATAATTGATATAAAAAAGAAAATAATTTTTCTAAAACTTTACCACAAATTAGACAAGGATATATATATTTAAAGAAAATAAATAATTTATATAAAATTGTACCACAAATTACCTATTTTATTTGCAATGAAACTCTATCACATTAGACAAGAATATATTTAAAGAGTTTTTTTAAAACTCTAACACAAATTATGAAAATTTTACCACAAATTAACTATTTTATTTTCTTTAAAACTCTATCACATATAACCTGTATTAATCTATTTATTATGAGTTTTTCTAATAAAAGGAAATCTAATTAAACAATGATATATTTAAAGAAAATAAAACAATTTCTATAACTCTATCACATTTTAATTAATATAAAAAAGATAACTCTATCACATATAAGTATATAACCCTTGTATTTATCTATTTATTATGAGTTTTTTAATTAAAGAAAATCTAATTTTACAAAGATATATTTAAATAAAATAAAATAATTTCTATAAAACTCTACCACAAATTATCTATTTTATTTTCTATAAAACTCTATCATATTAAATAAGGATATATTTAAAGAAAATAAAATATAACCTAGGATCTTCCAAAAACCACAAACTCCATATAATAAACTTTTATATCAATTTCAATCTAATGTATTATTAGTATAATTGAATTTCTATTTTAAAATTTAATTAAAAATTAATATAATTAAATTTCTATTATAAATTAAAAATTATACTAAATTTTAAATTACCTAATAAAATTCAAATTACAAATTAACTAATAAAATTGAAATCTATACTATTATATATATATATATGTTTATATACTTTTTAAAATATTACCTAATAAAATTTAAATTACAAATTACCTAATAAAATCCAAATTACCTAAAAAAATTTATTACTTTGCAAAACTTAAATATTTCATTATTAAAATAAAAAATTATTAATTAATAAAAAATAAAACATAAATATTTCAGTATTAATATAAAAATCTAAAATTTTTTATTAATTTACGAAGCTTAAACTTTATCACCAATTTCAAAATATTTCAGTATTTATTTATTAATATAAAAAAATATTAATTAATATAAAAAGAGTTACAAAAAATTGTAATTTTTTTGTAACATTTATTGTTACAAGCTTCAAATCAATATTTAGAAAAGAAAATATAAAAATAAAAATTTTATAAGTTACAAAATATTTACCACATATATTGCACTTTTCCTAGTACAGACAAAGGTAAGTTGTACAATGGGTTACATGGGTTATCATGCTAATTTGTACAAACTTGGCCCAATATGGCTCATCATAACAAAAGGCATGTCGTGAGAGTAACCACCAGGCCTAAGATTTCATATAACCATAATTGACGAAGTATTAAGTTCAAATAATACCACCATATTTTCACGTGCCGAAGGACATGTTGTGTGTGTATGAGTTTTTTGTCAAGCTAATATATTAAAAAAAAAAAAAAAAGTTATACATGTTACAATTTTTTGGGTACAATTTGACGAGCTATTTTTGACTCTCAAATATCTATTTTTTGATCTAAACGACCCAGCTATCAAAAGCCATAATATTTATTGCGATTCATGTAATTGTTTTGGCCAAATTCTGTCGCTTAGAGTTCTAAAATTTTATTTACCCATTTAATCTTATGAAGACTTGAACCCTCAACTAGAGAAGGTGAGGAAGTATCACTAGGGGCTGTCGTAGTATAATTTATATAATATTTTATACAATATACGTTTATAAAAGCATTATAAGAAAAAAATAATAATAATAATTTTTGATATTTTATAAATTATATAACATAATATGACTTGTTAAATTAAATAAAATATATTATGATATATATTGGAGTATATTATAAATAGCATTATTATAATGAACATTACTTGCCTCCTACCCTATAACCTAGCTGATGTGGACAAACAAAATTTTTAACCCAAAGTTAAAACAATTTAAAACTATTACTAAAAAACTGGATCAACCAATTTTTAACGGGTTAACGGGCTCCGGAAGGAATTTCCTTCTCTCAGCTGATGTGCACCAACAAAATTTTACTAACCCAAAAATAATTTAAAAACAATACTAAAAAACTGGATCAGCCAATTTTAAAGGATTAACGGGCTAAAATTAAAACCCAATCAGAAAAATCCCACTTTCAAACTCATCGTCATTCTCATCTACCTAATTGATCTCCAGCAACACTTCATACAAATCTGATATCCTTACATATATATATATATATATATATATATATATATATATATATATATATAATATGAAGTACATAAAAATTAGAAGACGAGCGATAAAATAAGAAGACAAGGGGAGGTGGGAAGCAGCGTGGTTGTGGTAGTAGTAAGTAGTGTTTAAATTGAGATTAGGACTTTGGACACAGGTTTATACAGAGAATTGCTACAGATGAGAAAGATGCGCGGTTGCAAAGGGAGAGCTCTGCAGACGAGAAAGAGAGAGGGAATGTGAGAGACATTGATCCAATTGCAGAAGGGGCAGAGATCGCGCAAATAGAATTGAGAAAGAGAAACACGAGTGGGAGAGAGTTGTAATATCTGGTTATCCGTTTCTTAAACCGAGAATACGGGTTTGATCCAATAATAATTGTCTTAAATTTTTAGACACGTTTTATTTTTGTTAGCGCACAGAATGAAATTCATTCTCATATGGTACAAGGCAAGTATTGTCCTTATGTAATCTTAATGTAAGACGAGAACTAACATGTCTGTGTAACCTAGCGATATCGGACTCCTACTTCCCAAATGAAGGTCAGGGGTCCAAGTTTCAGTGGAGTTATGTGTGTGTAAGTACAACTAAGGAAAAAAAAAAAAAAAAAAATGTAAGACAAGCCTTGTAATCTTATTGTGAGATAAAGTCAAAATCGTTCAATGGGCTATCTGTATCTCTTTGGTACATATATCTACCAATCCAATCAATTCAATTCCCCTGCAAACCTACAACCTTGTTACAGAAAATTCAGAAATCCTTGAAAATCAAAGCATGAAGCCAAAATGTGTACATTTTTACAAATGTGGTACATCAAGAAACCCATTTAGCTACAAATTCAATCTCCAAACCCTAAAACCATACCCAGGTGTACATTTTTACCTACCCACCTACATAGGCATATACAAAATGTGTTTGTGTATGTGCGTGTATGTGTTTATATGCACCTACATGGATTTTATAGAAAGAGAGAAGAACAAAGTCCAAAGATGTGTGAAAAACCATCATAGTAATTTGGAAATAATGAATTTAACTCATTTCTAAGGTAAGAATGAAATTTCACATTGCTCCAACTAACCAACAACTATAACAAAATGACAAAGCGTTGCCAAAATCAAAAAATTAAAAAGGAGAGTCGCAATAAACAGAGAGTCAGGGTGGTAAGTGTAATTTACCCCTTTTTTTTCCTCTCCCAGGTAGGTCAATAGAGAACTAAACAGTCCGGGGGTCAAGTGTAAATTCCAATATCAATACCCTAGATTCAAGCTACATTTGGAGGACATGAAGCAGATTACATAAATCTATAAAGTTATTGTAACAAGAATAACATGTATTCACAACAACGCGAATAATTCCGAGTCCAATGACATTAATAAAAGAAACAGTATCTATTTGATGCTTTTTCATAGAAATAGGTTCATAACATTAACCCAAATATCCAGAATATAAAAATTTAACAAGAAGAAAAATAACAAGAATCCTTCTCACACAATATAAGTAGCATCAAAATTGTAACTCCAAAAAGCACTTGCTACAAAGACCCTGATAAAAACCTTCTAAGGAAAGAGAGGGTTACGAAACTGTGGCATATTCAAGAATCTGCAATGGTAACCTCAACCTCAACGCCAGGTTCAATGGTGATCGAGGTGATTTGCTTAACCACATCTGGGGAACTGAAGAGGTCAATCACTCGCTTGTGGACTCGAAGTTCAAATCTATCCCATGTGTTGGTTCCTGTGAATAAAATATTTAAGGTTCACAATTTTCAAAATAGAAAATTGTCCCAATAAACGTCTTGCAAATCCCAAGCAAAAAGCATTTGGATTGCTATACAAACACGGGACCATGCTCGTATCTGTAATAAATAGTAGGATACAACAAAACGCAGTTGTGCAAATATATCATAATTGAACACATTGTCTAATGCAGCAGATTAATATGTCTATCCTATCTCAAGAGAGGTTTCAGCTCCAAAGACCTCCCACCCTTGCTCAATGAGAAAATGGGTCAAATTTTCAGCCAATTGTCTTGATCGTGGGATATCATTGAGAAATAGGAATCCATGTTATCAAAGGATTTCCTGGGCATGAGGCCTAAAACTCATACTACATTTTGCAATGTAACAATGTTGTCGATATAACCATAATATTCTAAAAAAGAGGCAACAATTTGTAAAATCCATTTACAACAAAAGATATGCAGGATATCAAGCACATTTAAAGCGAACAAGAATTCTGCTTTGTCGCTGAGATGAATTAAGTGAAACATTCATCAATTTAATGAAGCAATAGAAAACGATACTGCAAAATGAGGTATGAAAAAAGAATGAAAAATATACAGTTGGTATAATCTACATATGTTTAATAGAAGAATCAAAATGGATCAATTACTAATCAAAATTTGCAGGTCATACTCAATTTCTGGTTGCTATGTCAAAAAACAGTACAGATAAACCAATTAGCCCCTAAATGAAGTTGGCACTACTCCACACTCCACAGCACTTTAAATTTGAAACATTATTCTGTTTCTTGGAGAATTTTTACTAAGCAACAAAATGAAGATGAACACCCCACGTTTACTTTTCTGAATATTGGGTAAACTAAATTGAAAATCAAATTTAAAAACAACAAAGACTGTTATTTTATTGATATTCCAAGATCAGATTAGACTATGTTTTACACATTCTTATGATGATAATCATGATACAATAGTTAAATCTAGGCCACTAATAAACCTCATTACTAATTCAGTGATCCTTTCAAACCAAAATGGTACTACATACAACACTAAAGTAAATGCAGTTGAAAAATATTATTTCATAATTAAGACAACCTAAATCACAAGCACAGTACAGTTTGGGGAAAAGAAATATACTAAGAAAAAGGATGCAATATCCTTGAAACATGTTAATGTAAAAGAACAGACAAAATTCACTTAATCAACCCAAAAACCTCTTATCCTAATATATTATTCTTACTACAATCAAATAGAAAAAGGATACATGTATGCTCCAGGAAATGATTTAATTATCTTGATGGATGACAGGAAATACTGACAAACTGTAGCATACATATAACATATCATAACTGCCGATGAAGGCTGAAAGATAATTTATTTCAATAACAATTATTTGAAGTCCAGATCTTTTAACAAATTTTTTTTTCCATGAATGCATCTTTTAACAATTGAGAATAACATTTGTACTTGTCTTAATCTAAAGTATGATAATTTCTTGTTTATACTCAACAAGCAAGCAGAGCTATTCACCATAATAACAATAGAGAAGAACTCTTTCCATTAGTGAGTTATACCTTCACCACAAGGGGTCTTTCGGGTAGTGATATGTAGAACCTTTGTTGGCATTCTTACTGGTCCCTTGACCCTCAGCCTCTTATCCTTGGCACCGCGAACCAAATCAGCACACACTATCAATTGAACCCAGAGTACAGACACAACAAACCATATTCATTACATCATTCCAAAAATAAATAACAGTCAAATGAAATAATATTTGTACAAACACAACAAACTAGAACCAAATCAGCACACACTATCAATTGATCCCAAAGTACAAACACAACAAACTAGATTCATTACTACACTCCAAAAATAAATAACATCATCAGATAAAGAAAAATCCCCTTTTGTTCAAACAACCTTCTAGAACATATGAGATACATTTCATAAGTTCTGCACAAGCTTACTGATTTCATATAATTTCATCATATTAAACGGATAATTATCCATTCAAATAACTAAAGCAAAATAAAACATATCTAATAATAATTAAAGTACTCCAAGAAATAAATTAATCGACAACAATAATAATGATAAAATCGAAATCGGTCTGGTCAAAATGAAGTAGAATAAGACCTTTCTCGAGGTTCTTGACGTTCTTGGAGGAAAGAGTGATTCTGATCTTGTGAATCTGCTCTTGGGGTTCCTCCAAACCTGCCTTAGTCGGCTTCATCGGTGCGTACGCCATTGTTGCTACCTTTTCTACAATAAACAATAATCGAACAAAAATCCTTACCGTAAAGACAATCGAGTGAGTGACACAATTACAACGTATACAGCAGAAAACAAAACAGTTCAATAAATATACACATACACATACACATTTGAAAGATATAAATACCTGTCGAATAGAGAGAGGGAGCTGCGGAGATGTTGAGTAGAAGCCGCTCTTCACCCTCTTCAGATGCGATTAGGGTTTCAGAAGCCTTTGTGGTGTACATTTATATATGCAAAAATTACTAGTTAGTCCTAGTAGTTAATTTTAAAGACAAATCATTCCTGCACTAACAAATATGGTAGCATTTCATAAATGTTGGTTTTATTCCTATATTGCCCCTTTTTATAGGAATATCATAAATGTCATTTATGTATAAAGGGTAATTACACTGACCATTCTGAAGGGTTAGATTAATTACACAACGGGGTGTGCAAAAACACCGACAACCCGAAAAATTAAACCGGACTTGATCAAATTGGACGGTTTAGGCTGGTTCTATAGCGATTCGGTCCGGTCACGATTTTAAAATAATGGAACAATAAATTTTTGATTCGATCCCGGATTAGGGTCCTATAGGACCGAATCGGTCCAGACAGAACCGTTATAATATATATATATATATATATATATATATATATATATATATATATATATATTTATTTCTTTATATTATATACTCTCTCTGTCCCAAAATACATGCCCGCTTTGGGAATTGTGACTCACAAAAATGTGAGTCACAGTTCCAAAAGTGGCCATTAATTTTGAGACGGAGGGAGTATATAGCTATACCTATATACTATTCTTAACTTTGCAAGGGATTTCGGCATAACGATCAAACGTGAGCTAACATTCATCACAATCTGATTTTTTTTTTATTTGCTTTTGTTTCTCCCAATGTTTTGATTTTTGGGTGTGTGCCAACATTCCTCCACTATCTCCTTTTTTTTTTTTTTGCTCACGCTGCCTCATTCACTTTTTAATTCTTATCGCTGCGAAATTCAATTCGGTCATCGCCATCGATCTTTTATCGATGCCGTCGATGACATCATTTCTCACACACACACGCACTCTCTCTCTTTCTCTCTTACTTTCAATTTATATATCTCTGAGTCTCATGGTGTGTTTGCACCTCAAGCACAACCAACAGCGACAACGAATTAAGTTTTTTAGTTTTCAACCATGGATTTGTCATTATTTTTAGTTTTAGCAAGATTCAACCCTATTTTAATATCTAGGGTTTTGCTTTGGGGTCTATTTCACCCACTTTTCCCTCTCTCTTTTCTCTCTCTATTTTAGTCTTGGATTCGGGAATATGAATGCTTTTATTGTTATTTTTGTTGTATATACAATTCAAAAAAAAAAAAAAATAGGGAAATAAAATTCAACTAGAACCGTGAAACCGAACCGAACCGAACCGAACCCTTTTTTCACGGTTTGGACTGGTTCGGTTTCATGGCTCAAATGGTCTAGTTTGGTTTTAGATTTTTTGGAATCGTAGGGAGCGGTTTGGTTCCAAAAATCCTCAAAATCGGACCAAACTGGACCGTGTGCACCCCTATTACACTTTGAGTAAACCATTCAACGTTATTACTTTGATTTCTTCTAGACTTATTTGTTACTGCCGTAAGTGACTTTAAGTGTGAAAAATCAATAATGTCCTTATATTATTTTTGTCATTTCATTACAATACATAAGGGTATTATTGTCTCTTCATATAAAGGATGGACAAAGTTGTTATTTTATAAAATTTGATTAACAGGTCTATCAGAGGAAAAAAAAAACACAAAAAAACAGAAAAACAATAAGGATGTTGTTGAGCCCATGTGTCAAATCTGATAGAATATCAAAGTGGTAAACGTTAAATGGCCTACCCTTGTGTAATTTGTTCAAACTTTAAGGGAGGTCAGTGTAATTTGCCTTAAAAAAAATTTCAAAGAAAAATATATACAACTTGTATATATATATATATATATATATATATATATATATATATATATAGAGAGAGAGAGAGGGAGAGAGAGAGAGAGAGACTTAAATTTACATAAACTAACCTAGGTTAGTTCTTTAAATCATTTATTTTTGAAAAAATATAAAAAAAGTGAGAATAATAATAATAATAATTCATTAATTGTAAATGAATATAACATAAAAAGATAAATATGTAACTTTTTGGGCTTTGTTTTAAAATTTTACTAGTTTTGGTGATGGTTAAAACTGTATGTATTTTTTTTTAATTTTTTTTTTTCATTACTAGTTTTGGAGCATTATTGTAAATTGATAAAAATTACAAATTATAGGTAAAGTAATATTCGGCCGCCCCGGGGGGGGGGGGGGGGGGGGGGGGGGGGGGGGGGGGACATGGTGTTTGCACCTTAAAATTATTCGGCCACATAGCATCAAATAATTTGACAAAAGTTCTTACTTTAATTAATTAAAATTAATTAATTGTTGGATGACTTTTTATGATGGGCTGCAATAATAAAGGATTATTTCAAGTTAATGTAAACACTCGAGTTTGTTAATAAAAGATATATACTGTGTTACTAATAGGACTCTTATTTAAAAATTGGAGTCTAAAGTTACGTCAGTTTTATTTCAAAAACACGGGCATTTGGATAAGCTTAAGACATTTGGATAAGCTTAAGGCAAAAGAAGTTTTCCAATTCAAATATAATATTTGAATTTAAAAAGAATCTCCTGAAAGAAACCACTACAAGACTTCTCTATAAATAGCACCAGAAGAAATCTGTACGATGGTCCACGACCAGAACATCAGAATTTCATTTTATCGATACCTTTTATTCTCTGTAAATTTACTTAAGTCTTTTCATTGTATTATACTTCTTTTGCTTAGGAGTAGTATTAGAATCCAATTCTTATGCTTGTTTCACTTGTATAAGAATCCTACTTATGAAATAAAAGTTAGACGTTTGATTTCAATCCCCTCTACTTTTATTTTCTAAGTTTATTGGAATAGATGAATGCTTATGTAGTTTTCTTTACTCCTTTCATCAATTCCTTTGTTAGTGCTGAAAGTCTTCTTTATTGAGGCGTTGAAGAACCTGAAGGAAGGGGTCATCCTTGCCTTCCAGTAGTCGCCTGATTCACAAAAGGGCCGATTATGAATTCAGTAAGCACCAAGGATAGTTTGGCTATCCAACTCCTTGAGTCGAAAGACTAGCACGCCCCTACAAAAAAAAAGAGCCAAACAATTTGGCACGACCAGTGGGGTACCAGAAGTATCTAAATTCAACCTTTATCTATGGCATTTACTCGGTCTCAATGGCAAAATTTGCCTGAGAGATAGCCTTGACATCAGGAACCAGGGGCTGAACTCGAAGTGTATCAACAGCTTCAACATCAGGAACAAGAGGCTGTAGTGGAAGTGAATCAATAGCCAAGTAATCAGATGTTGGCTGAGAATGTTAACAACTTAGTGCAACGGATGGAAATTTCCAGCCGTACCTTTCATGGAGCACTAGAGCCAATCCATAACACATTGGCTAATTTGAATGATTCTTTAACCGTTTTATCAACAAGGTTTGATCAACACCTTATGGCATGGTCGAATACTACAGATACTTTGTTGCATGCACAACAACAAGTTCCAGTGCCTGTTGGGGTTTAACAGAATTACTACCAACAACAGTGGTAAGGGTTTTAACCTCTCATGCAGCCGTTGCATGGACAGTATCAACCCCAAACTAATCAACCGTTGGCTAATCAGCTGCAACGTCAGATACCAGCGAAGTATAAACCAATCAGAGGGGCTAATCAAAATGTGAATTGGTAACCAATTAATCTGATTTATCAACATCAACCACAGGTATGTCAGCCTCAAGAGGGGTGATATAATTTTAATACTGGTTTTAATTTTCCAGCGCCTCAGCCTTAGGTGCCGTATGTGCCTCAATCTCAAGTGTCGTATATGCCTCAGCCTCAGGCACCTTATATGCATCAGCTTCAAGCACAACAACTAAATCATCAACCCCTTATGGTTGATAGTGATCAATTGGCTAATATAATTCAAGCAACTTATGGACCAACCCAAAGAAAAGTTGGTCGCCTTACATCTAGGAAGCCATATTCGGATTATATAGACCGATATGAGTTTTCAAGAGGCTATAAAGTTCCCGATTTCATTACCTTTTCGGGAGAAGACTCCACTTCAACCATAGAACACATTGGTCGGTTTACCATTCAATGTGGTGAGGTTGGAGCAAATGAATTCTTAAAATTAAGGCTCTTTGCTAATTCCCTTACAGGGACCGCATTTTCTTGGTATATAAGTTTACCAGCAAATTCGGTCTATACTTGACAACAATTGGAAGAAATGTTTCATACCTAATTTTATAAGACCGAACCAGATGTGTCGATGATTGACTTATCTAGGCTGTCCCAAATGCCTGAAGAGACGGCTGCAGCCTTTATTGGTAGGTTTAAAAGGGCGAGACATAAATGCCAAGTATCCCTTCCAGAAACTGAATATGTGAGTCTAGCCTTGAATGGTTTAGACTTTGAATTACAAAAGAAATTTGAGGGAATGCAATTTCGGGACTTGTTTCAACTAGCCTCTAGTGCTACAAGATATGAAAAGGTCCTGAAAGAAAAACAAGATAGAAGGAATGCCTTTAGGGGTACTTATTACAGGGACCTAAACTATGAAATTCATATGACAGAGGCATCGAATAATAATTATGTCAAAGATCTTACTTATGAGATTCATTTGACAGAAGCTGAAATTGGCCTTGAAGTTGATGCTGCAGAAATTAATATAAAGAAACCATATTCATATTCAGCATTGACTAAACTAGCCGAAACTGTTAGTAGTGTTCAGTCGTCAAGTTCAACGGCTAAAAGAACCTTAACAGGTAAACAATACGCTTTCGATAATACAAAGGCTAATGAGATTTTTGACCTTATGTTGGCTGATAAAATAATCGGCCTCTCAAAGGGACAAAAAATCCCTTCGAAAGATGAATTACAAAATAGAGATTATTGTAAATGTTATAATTCTTATCGCCATTCGACTAACAATTGCATTGTTTTCTGTTCTAAATTACAGAACTTGATCGAGAAGAAGTTGCTTCGTTTCCCTGAAAAGAAGCAAGATAAAATAGGTGTTGATGATAACCCATTTCCAGCAGTAGAGGCTAGTAATATAATTTCAGTTAAAAACTTCAATCAACCACCTAATGATAATATAGGTGGTGAGAGAAAGGTTAAAAAATTAGAAGAAAATCAGCTTGTTACAG